TCCTTTCACATGTTGATAAGGCACTTAGCTGTGTATGTAAGTCCTAGATTTTGGATCTAGTTTAGAACTGTCCTTTCATTTTGCATTAAACTACAGATGAATTTTAACGAGTAGCTAGATTATAAATTATGAAGGCTATTTCTAAACTTTGTGGATAAGCTTATGTTATATGCATTCTGACCTCCTCAGGGATTAGACCACGAAGGGAATTTAGGCTGGAAATACCTAGCTTCTGGACCTTGATTTTACGTAAGAGTTATGAGGAGCACACCAGCATCAATCCAGCTCTGACTGGTACACAAATCTAGGCACCTCAAGATTTTGAAAAGAAGCAGCAAAGCTCCTGCAGGGTTTGGATGTTACCAGGATTAAGCAGTATCCATCAAAAATATTTCACAATTTTATTTTTTTGCATTTAATGCCTAATTTTTCTCTTATGTATCAGATAACCCCTCTACATATTATTTCTGTTTCATCCATAATCTTTGGATAAATTTCATACCTAGTTTTATAGGAGCATATGAAGTTTCACTGTGAAGTTATAGACTAGATCTCAATGAAACCTGTTTATCATTCCTTCTGCATTGATGTTGTCCTTGGCAAATGGCCTCAGTCAGTGATGCAGAAGAGTGCACGTTAGTATTCGGCTGATGGGCAGCTGGGACCCCTTATGACTCATGCTATTATATAATTGACTGAGATCACTTAAAGGAAAGAAACAAGATTGTTACAAAAACTTCAGTTTGTGAACTTATGTTTGTGCTCTGAAGACAGAATTCCCTATCAGAGACTCTGAAATGTCTACTGAAGGCTGTTGTAGCAATTTTGATTTTGCTATATTTGCTATAATTTTCAATATTTGCATTTGAGCAGCCTCCAGCTATTCTAATTTTTCCACCTGTGTGGAAAAGGGATGAAGGCCAAAAAAGGTCAAAATGAAATTAAAAGATAAGTAAAAATTAGAAGAATGAGATGCTACATTTAGCTCAGCCAGAATTATAGGGTATTTTTAGGTCAGGGTTGATATCCAGTGCCTGAGCTCTACTCCCAGAAACTGCTGCAGATGATGGATTAGGTTTACTGGTATATTTTAATATATCAGAGCATCAAGGATTCCTGGTAATATTTCTCTCAAACATCAACATTTCTCTATTTCTAATTAATTAAAGGTAACTTTACATATTTTTATAGCTTTAATAAAATTTGAGGTTTGATATTCAGAAAGAGGAACTGGAGAACACCAGAATCACAGACGAGATTTTCTAAAAGGAACTGGTATATAGTGGTGACATGTCTTTATACCAAAAAGATTGTCCATTCTTTACACATACCTCCTCATTTTCTAGATATTATTTCATTTTATTGATTTTCATAACCAATTAATATGTATCAATGAACGTCCTTTATTCAAACCCTGTAGCAGTAATAGATAGCCTGCACTAAAAGTGCCTTATAGAGAAAATATACATGTAGTTCAGATGTATGACAGCTGGAAGTGAACAATACAGGTTGCTCAAATAGCTAATGCAGTCTACTGAGCACCATCGATGGCAGCTTTTCTCAGGAGAAAAGAACAGGAAAATTATTACAGTTAGTTGAAAAGTTAGACAGGTGTGGCCAGTTAGTATATCTGAAACAAATAGATTTAAAAAAACAAATTAATGTGGTAGCAGACTTAATTATTACTATAAACAAGCAACAGAATAGTAACAAGGGCTCCGCTGTGCATGTACACTGTATTTGATCCTTGGGCTGGGAACATTTTCTGGTTTCAGTGCTGCATTGGTTTCCTGCACAGAACTTTTGTTCTAGTGTTAGTCAGAGAATCACCCAATACAAATGAGCATACTTGCACATTATACAACATACTTTGCAGTTCAAAGACAAAGAATTTAAAAGCTTGAACAAGATCATCCAGGAAGAATACACAAAGGTGTGGAATAAATTTTTCCCATATAAGACATTGAAAAGAAAGAAAGAGTTGGGATTTCATAGGATTAGGATTTCATTCTACAAGAGAAGACCTTCTGTTACAAAAACACTTCTGCGAATGAAATATGAAAAAAACAAGTTTTGAAAATTCAGATATAATGGAAGTGTACAACAGATGACATAAAATTGCTGGATAACAAAAAAAAAAAATACTTGTAATCTTTTGCATTTTGAATATTTTCACATGTTTTCCTGGTCAACATATTTCATTTGTTTGTTTTTATACACTTCATAGTACATGTTCCAAAAGATTTTGTCTGGTTTTAACACTAAGTAAAATAAATATAGTGTTTCTCTAATTTAATCTTCTTGTCTGATACAATATATCAAATTTAACCTATGTCTATAACTAATGCTGGGTAGGAAATTGGTTCACTGAGTTATACTTTTCAATATTTTTCTTTCAGGTAATGGAATATATAAAAATAAATCGCATTTCAATCAGGAATTTTAGGGTATATCACCAGCAAATGTCCAAAGAAGCACAAAACTTAAGCATTTAAAGTTTGAAACAGTTAATTTGCAGCTAAATCTTCATAACTGCTCATCTAGAAAAAAGATTTGTAAAGATCTAATGAACTGTTAGGGATGAGAACTGACAATTATCACATATTTCTTCATCTTTAAAAGAAATACAACCTTATTTTAGTTGCACACAAAAATAAATTCCAGTATTCCCATTTATTATGTTAAACCCTAGAAAGGGTAACTATAATAATGTATGAGAAATTGACTTTTTTTACCTTTACTGGCCTAGAAACAAGTGAATATATTTCCCTCACTTAAATGAGTGTGAACTGAGATTAAAATTAAAAATGTATTCCTGAATACATAAAGATGATAATACTGTATTCAATATCTGATCACTGTAACCGTCATGCTCGAGTTATCCTCCCATTTTCTAAAATAGACTTCTTTATGGATCACACCACATTACAGAATACTGTTAATCTTCAATATGTTAAATGCAATAGGAAAAAAAAAATAATTCTTGTGGGTTCTACTTCAAGAAAGTGCATGTGAGACAGCCAAACATGTCAGTTTTGGAGTAAAAAACACCACCACCACAAACAAAAAACCTCACAAACAAACCAACTCACAAAGAGATCAAAATTTTTGTGGAAATTTAAACCATCCCTCCTATGAAAGGAGATACCTTATAAAAACATTTAAGAAGGAGATCATTTAAATTCTGTTGTTTGGTGAGGGGTTTTGTTGTTATTGGTTTTGGGGTTTTTTTTGTTTGTTTAGGGTTTCCCTCCCAACACCAAATGAATATGAGGCTGTAAAATGGACTTTGCTAGGAGACTACAATCTACCTTTTGTTGTTACTAGGATGTGTGTGACAATAACACACTCAAAGTAATTTCTTAAGTATTAGAATAATTCTGAACTTCAAAGGATTTCTGTTATCCTCTATAGCTCTAATTACGATAAGCTTGATACAGTTTTCAAAAGCAATGTCTATTCGGCATATATGGCAAGAAGGGTGGGGAGCGTGTCGACAGCTCCAGTGACATTACTAGGTTGGGACTAAATCTTTGGCATTTTTGAAATATGGAATCAAGTTCATTCTCAGAAATGAGGGAAATCAGAGATGTCAAACCACTACTGGGAACAAAAATCTGAAATGTTATTTGGTAATGATGTAGGTGCCATGTATTATTAATACATTCTCCAAAAAATCACATTTTTTCTTAACTAAGCAGTGTTGGTATCTTTTATGTCTCTTCCTATGCCAACCAAAGATTTGTTCACTTTGCCATTTCTGTGGACTTTGAGTTTTGCATACCATGAAAGCAAAGGAAAAACTCATGCATCATTTACATGTGGAAGGTTTATTGTGAGCAAAAGGGATGACTGAGTTTTTGCTTTAATACCGAATCGAGTATTTCAGGTATAGCAGGAAATCTATACATTTTCCCTAACTTTAGATCTTATTTTGAAGTGTTGGTTTCAGACTTTAGGGAAAGGAAAAGGAAATATCGCAGAAATAGAATGGAAGGAAGACTTCATATTCCAACGCATCTGGAGAGATTGATTCCCTACTTTTGAAGAGGCATTACTGAAACAGATACCAAAACAACAGAATTATAGGTAGTTTTTAATTTTCTATTTTTATTGTTAGTCAGGCAAAGAAATTATCAGCAAATACCTAACAGAGACTATTGAAACTGTAAAAAACAAGTCACTGAGTTATGACTACCCTAGTACAATATGCAGGCAAATATTTCTTCTATCATACTCAGAATTACTATGTAGTGTTGATTGCGTTGGCATGTTCATAGCTACCATCTGACACCACACCTTTTATAAATACACAGGTTACTCAATCTCATCACAGAGCATAGGGGTGTGAACTACAGTGATACTACTGAAATACTATTGCTACATGACTGAAGATTATGCAGCACCAGCAAAATTATCTTACCACAAAACCCTACTAACACTTGCTACTAAAAATAATGGAGCACTAGAGGAAAATAAGTGAAGCATGGGAGATGTTGTCAGTAAATCCAATATCCTTGGAGCAAATCCAAAATTTCGGGGACAGTTCCATTACAACAATGTATGATTTTGATTCCTAAATCTCTGGGAGAAGGTTATAATTGAAACAGTACCAATTATCTGAAGAAGACGTAATACATTTTCATTCACCTTCTTAACCTTTCAGTTGGGAGGCCTGGGTGTTGGAAAGAAGGGATAACATCACACTTTCTTCTCTAGTTCAGATTTAGGAACAGAAGTTTCCTAGGTATATTGAATCAAAAAGGTACAGACTTGGAATTTAGAGCTTCCCCCATGAATCTAATTGCATACAATATATATGAGAAATTTTGGGACATACTACACGAAAAACATTCTGTTGTGAAAACCAATAAATTGGTATTAATCATTCATTGAGTTTTGCAGCCTTTCAAATCTAACCTTTGGATTGCTGATACTGGAACTGTAATACATCAAGAGTAGTAACACTAAATTTATTATAATTACATTTTTAAAAAAAAAACCTCTTCAGTTGATTTGTAACAATTTAATTACTCCATGACCTCCACAGTTTTCATTGCCTCCTAACTAAGAAAATATGAGTGCATGCAGAACTGACCTGAGCCACAATACCGGGCCTCAGAGGCCCCGTGTCTGTTAGACAAGATGTAAGGAGGTCTGCTGCCACCTCTTTGCAGCATCCCAAGGACAGCACATTTTATGCAGGGAGAGAGATTTGCAACTGAGTGCTGTAGCCTAGGGAGATGTGAGAAATACACATTGCAAGAAATCAAGAGAAGAGAGAGTGAAAGCACATCATTTATAAAACAGCTTGACCAAGCAAGTAAGTCTGATTACCTGCACTGTGCAACTATTGTCACCATGGCTCCACAGGGAGCATGTTCATTTGTCACTTCCACCATACCGTCTCAAGACATACAAGTATTACATCAAATGCATCCCTCAGCAGTCGGTTAGCAGCCTGCTTTCTGGCACATCTCAAATGCGTGGATAAATACTCAGGACTACACACGCTGCTCTCCATCACCCTATTTCTAACCTCTTTCAAAGCATCTGCACACAGGCTTTAATTCACTGGCTTTGGCTTTTCCCCTGGTTTCTCTCCATTACAGGTATTTGCGTTTGAAGTAGGTGAGACTGCTCCTCTCAGGGCTCCAGGGCGTGCGGGACCCCACCTGGGGCAGTGTGCTGCCAGAGGAGCGCGACCCCGAGCGGGGCAGGGTTGCATAGGCAGAGGTGGAGCGGGGTAGGGTGGTGTAGGCAGAGCGGGACAAGGTGTTGTAGGAGGAGCGGGACAGGGAGCTGTATGGAGGGCGCGTGAGTGCACCATAGGCAGTGCGGGACAAGTGGGAGTAGCCCGAGTGCCCCACGAGGCTCCATGCTGAGCGGGAGGTTGGTCCCCACGTGGATTGGGAGCCCAAGCGAGTGGTGGTGTCACAGGAGGGACCCCACTGAGGGCCGCACACTGAGCGAGACCCTGCGGTGCCCATGACCCGTGAGGCCGAGCGAGAGGTGGGGGTGTAGAGAGAGCGGGCTGTGGCAGCTGCCACGGGCCGTGGCGCCGGGGAGCATGGGAGGCAGGCTGCCGATGAGTCCTCGGGGCGAGCGGCAGGCACGCTGGCGGGGCGGCCCCCTGTGGCCCCCAGCGAGACGGAGGTGGGGGAGCACAGTGAGTGGGCTGCCGGGGGCCCCACTGGGCGGGAGGCCGGGGAGCACAGCGAGTGGGATGCTGGGGGTCCCACGGGGCGGGGGGCTGCGGAGTACAGCGAGTGGGCCACCGGGGTGCTCCCCATCTGCAGCCCTGTTGGGGTGGTGCTACGGGTGGTAGAACGGGGCACTGGGGAAGCTGCTGGGCCAGGGCCTGGGGAGCACATGCCATGGGCTACTGGGGCGCTCAGGGGTTGGGAGGACACAGTGGCCATTGGGCCACATGGAGCCTGGGTGGTGGGAGAGGGCGCGGAGCCACAGACGACGTGTGAGACGGAGGCAGCAGGCACTGAAACAGGAGCTGGTGCTGGCATTGGACTGCCGACGGTGTGGACCACTGGTGAGCACACGGGGTGGGATGGCGGAGCAGACATATGGGCAGGGACTGCCTGGGTTGCCACAGTAGGACTGGAGCCAGCCATGAAGTGTGTCAGCAGGGCACTCACCGCATTATTGGCGGGGACAGAGACAGAGTAGGACATTGATCCCCCTCCACCCCCAGGCTGGTGTGAGGGAGCAGGGCCCGTCTCAAACACCACATGAGGCATAGGGGGGCACACTGGGTTGGATGTTGGGGCAGGCATGGAGCCATACACGGTCGGAGGCATTGAGGTGCATGTAGCTGGAGGCACAGTCTCACATATGACACGGAAGCCAGGATCACATCCCAGGTCAAAACCAGGATTGACGCTTGGATTGAAACCTTGGTTGCAGATGGAGTTGCATAAGGGATGGCCTGCAGGGAGGTACACGAAGTCATAAACAGGCTGGCCCCCGGCACTGCAGTTTGGGTTGCACACTGGGATACATATATATTCACACATGGAGTTGAACGTAGGGTCCGCCACAGGGACAGGCCCAGAGCTGTTCATGGGGAGGGAGCCATTCTCACACACGGGGAGCGACCCATTCTGGCTGACGGGCAGGGTGCCATTCTGGCCGGTGGGGCAACACACTTCAGCCTTGGTGCATCCCTTGCAATAGGCAAACTTGTGGCATCCAAAATTGGCCAGGAGACGGTGGCTGCCAAGCCTGTAAGGTGTGAACTCCACGATGGTCCGCGCCTGTTGATTGGATGCCAGTGTTCCCAAACTGGACAGAGAGAAGGAAAAGAATTAGGAACTTGGGTAGCTCAGAGACCCAAAATGCTACAGAATAAATGTACACAATTCGGTTTGATTTGCTACAACATGTTTTCAGAGACAAGCTATTATGACAGCTTTGTTATTCTTGCCTTCCTCCAAAAAAAAACACATTCAGGTTTTGAAAAGCATGGTAACCACTTCTGTCCCAAAAGATGATTTGGAAAACTCCCACAGTCAGTTCTATAATTGGAACTGGAAATTCATTCACAATAATCTCTTGAATTCTTCAAAAACTTAGCACCTTTCTGCCTCAAAGGTGTATTTACTGCTTCCCATTTTCAGCAGTCTATGTTGGATTGGGCAGCTTTGTGGAATCAAACTCATTATTATTCAGTGAGAACAATTCCTAATTGCTTCCCTCAAAACTAGTCGTACTTCTGTCAGTTCCTGTCATGAAGAAGAGCAATGCATATTAATGAACAGCTACTTTTCCTAGGATGTTATAGCATCCTGGAAGTTTCCAGCTTCCCGTGATTAACGTGTTATGAGCTTAGAATGCATATTACTATTTCTCACTGTCATTTTCTAATTGTTCACGTATGTGGTGCTAGTTCATGAATATTTAGAGGAATTCTATTATAAACTCAATAGGATGGATTATAAGGGATGGAGAACCCAGCTAGAATTTCTTGTAAAGAAAAGAGTGCATTCCGTTTCAGACAGAAATTTGAAACACACACATAAATTAAATCTTGAGAAAAATGAAGCAGCAGCATATCTTGAGAGCTCTAAATGATCCATCAGTTTCAAGAGGAGTGACGCTTTTAATGAAGTCTCAAAGTAATAGAGGATAAAAGTCCTGTTCAGGTCCTAAACACAAAAATATCAGAACTATTGTCTTCCTCAAAACCTGCTCTGATCTAGCATACTTTAGATAACCCCCAATATTATCCCTATTTAAATAATTTGTGATCTTACTCAATGGTCATTGGCTCTTTGAATAAACCACAGCCTTCTAATGTCATTACACAGTTCTTCATATCTTCCTGGAGAGGATTGCAGAAGGAGATCTCTGCAGTACATGGTACTTTCAGCCTGGGCTGGCTCAGTAGCTAGTCAGAAAATAAACAAACATATTTCATGTTTTGTAACCCTTACAAAATTAACAATCAAGTAAATAAAATGTAAAAGAAAAAAGAAAAATAAAAGGATTATTCATACATGTTTCTGATTTATTTTTATGATCTCTAGACATCAATCTAAGTCAACTCTGTTACACATCTAAAATCACACTAATCTTGCTCAAATAAAAAAATACCATAAAAGAAAAGAGAAAAAGAAAGAATTTCAGGTTTATCAAGACTGTACTTAAGAAGTGGCCAGTAAGAGTCCCTAAGTCTGCTCCTTAGATCACAAATCTCATAATTAAAGGTTTTTACCTTTACAATAACAGGTGGCCTGTTGATCACAATATCCCTGCTCACCATCAGAACTTCTCCACACTCTGGGTCTGAGACAGCAACTACTTTCATAATGTTGTGATCACAGAGATAAGGTCCATATTGACTATACGATATACAGAGTGGAATTTTTTTCACTGTAAAACAAATTTTAATTATTTTTTCTGTTTTTTTGGTTAATATTTCCACTTTCTTTCCTCATAAAGTTTAACAGGCGCTTACAATGGTTTAATTAAATGTTAAGTTATCCCAGCATCTTAAAAACAGACATTATTTTTTCTGGCTTGGGGTGATACATAGCTACCTTCAACAACCAGCTTCACAGTTTTCAGTTAATAGAACTATATCAGTGCATTTACAAGGAGGTTGATTTATTATTATTATTCAAAATTTGGAAATGTTCTATTCCAGTGTAATTCTTAAAGCAATAATTCAAATGTAGTCAAATTAAAGCTTGGTAAAACAATGTTAGTATCAAGTATTAAATTTCATTTTATAATGATGTGTTCTAATTAAAGGGATCATTTTTCTTCAAGAAAAATATATTAACCATGAAAACAAGTCTTTATGTTCTGATACACCTTTGCACTCCCCAGCATATGTTATATGTAGAAATAATTACTTTAGTGTTCAAAACAAGTATTTTACGTGGGCTAATATCCTCTGGCCAAAGGAAAGAAATTGCTTTTCGGATAGAGAGCTGCATCTTTATCTTTGTACTGAATATAGAATCCAGAATTGAACTTTTAGTGGAAACAATTTTTTTAAACGATTGTAAGAATCTCTAAGCCTTGAGAAATTAAGGAAAGACTGTGATTTACCTGTCAATGTACATGTAGTATTGACACCGTGTTCATTTTTGAGTGATCAGTCTAAAGTGAATTTAGCTGTCAATATTTAACATTATATTCATTTCACTTCCCACCACTATTAGGAAGTCTCCACTAATCCTAAACCCCAAACTATCTCCTGAAAAGAACAGTGGACAAAAGGGTATTAGACAAATTCACCTTCTTACCTTCCCTTGGACCTAATGTGACATTCACACTGTCTTTCCAAAATTGATCCATTGGGCAACCACTATAGGTTATTATTTGTGCGCACAAATTAAACTTCAGGTTTTTGTTTTCACTACGCAAATTTTCAAGCACCCAATGCAGTTGAACATCTTCACCATACATTGGGCAGTTAGCCATCTTCAACCTCATGTTAATACCAGAGTCACTCAAAAATGGGTTTTTCAGGGATGATAACTCTCTCTCAATATGACAGTTGGAAGCATTGCAGTAGCCTGGGTGAATTCTTCTGTAAGCCCGGTAATAAGCTTCTTTGTTTTTCACAGAACCTGTTGACAAAGATAATGAATTTGCTGGAGGCACAAGAAGTCTTATCTACCCAAATAATAAAGATAATTAAATTTATTTCTCCTCCTTCCTGGAAGCTAATGTAGTGTCTTGGTGTAGAACAAATCCACCAGATAACAAAACACAAAATATGGTAGTCTGAATACATAGAAGATAATAAATATCTCAGAAAAACATTTAAAAAAAAATTTTACTCTAATTAGATACATTTTAAAAGTAATGTAAATTTCAAAAGTTATAGTTAGTGCAAAACTCAAAATATAGCTCTTTAGAAGGGTTAGGGTGAATATGAAATGCTATCATGTCTTTCAAAAGGTAAAATACACCATTCAAACAAAGAAACTACCAATTGTTTTCTTTTTCATACATGTTCAAACAAAACTGCAGAGCTTGCAATTTTACAATCAGCTGTGATCCACTTTTCATTTCTTTAGGCAATTTTGCTGGTTGAACTCCTACCTAGTACCGGAAGATGAAAATCAGTAATTAGTAGCCCAAAGTAAGAATGGCAGAATATCCTAATAATGGAAGGATTTTGTAAGTAAGCATATTTTCTGACAGACCTTGTGCAAGAAGCAACAAGAAGTTCATCCTGGGTTTAAAAGAATTTGGGGTTTTTAGATTGTCTAAAGTCTGGTAATATTTTAAACTACTGTACAGGTGAGACTAAAACATGTGCATATTTCAAGGGCTGGAAGGCAAGTCCTGTGAGGACTTCGGGTTTGTCTAGTTTGGAGAAAAGTCTGAGGTGTGACCTCACTGCTCTCTACAACTTTATGAGGTGAAGAAGTAGAGAAGTGCTGAGCTCTTCTCCCTGGAATCCCATGACAGGATACATGGGAATGGATTAAAGCTGAATCAGGGGAGGTTCAGTCCTGAAATTAGGAAGCATTTCTTTACCTAGACTGTGGTCAATACTGGAATAGGCTTCCTAGAGAGGTGGTTGATGGCCCATGCTTGTCAGTGTTTAGGAGGCATTTGGACAATGCCCTTAATAATATGCTTTAACTTATGGTCAGCCCTGAAATGCTCAGGCAGCTAGACGAGATGATCGTTGTAAATCCCTTCCAACTGAAATAGCCTAGCCTAGCCTAAATGGATGCAATTACTGTGTGCTTTGTTTGAATCATCTAAATGCTTTTAGAAGATTAAGAATCAAGATCTTTGAGCAGAAAGGCATCTTCCTCTTTCTCTAAAAATGAGAAATTCAAATTGTTCTACTCTAACACAGGACAGAATACACTGATACTTTTATATAATTAGCATTTAAATTTTCTTCTAACTCATTTAATGACTTTTCATCATACCTAGTTCATACTTGTAAGCCCCAGTGATATCTTCGAATTGCTCACTGCCAACACTCTTGGTGATAAGATGTTGTCCACATGGCCAAGTGTCGCAGAAAAATTTAGTTTTTTTGGCATTGTTTTGGGAAAGCCAGCCAACATAGTTCGAATTTACTCGAGAAAACATATGATGACCATCATAGTCCAAGTCCAGTTCCCCTTCTCTGATGCTTCGAACCCATGTAGGACCGCTGCAAGCTAAACCTAAGCCAGATAACAAAATTGTTATAATAGGTTGTAACCTGAATAGTAGAGAAACACAAGAACATAAGTTGATGAAAACAGTTACAGTTATAGTAAGCAGTTACCTCTGCCCGTTTCCAAAGGTGTTGGATCCAGACACTGCCAATCACCACAGCATTGATTTAGGTCTCTGCGAGCCATCCAAGATTCATTCCAGCAGTGATATCGCCTGTAGGATGAAGGAATATAGCATTAAAGACATCTCCTGGATCATCCAGTTCAATGTTTTATGATGGAGGAAAACCATGTCAGAGATAACCTTTTAATCAACTGAAGACTCTCTATGTCTTAGCACTGTTAATGATGTTTGGGGACAGGAGTTGTTTGTTTTGCTTTATATCACTCAGACTGGAAATTTGTTCCAGAACTCTGCAGACCTGATTGCAAAACATTCTTATAACCCTTTTTGTTTCTCAGTTGATAATGTACCAGCACAGTTGTTTTAAGTAGTTTATTTTCCTATCATTTTCTTCCTGTTCTTTAGAGGAAAAAAAAAATAAAATCACACACTGTCTTAGTATTCTTTTTAATGGCTTAACAAAGAATAAACCCTTAAATCTTTTGTGCTAAAATAAGATCGTCATTCCCTCCGTATTTCAGTTTGACCTCATATTTTTGACATGTGAAAGGGCAGAAAATTCATTAAAAGCTCTTACAGATCAGACTCGGATTCAAAAAAAAGTTCTGGTGTAGTGAAAATATGAACATAAGGTCAAGGGTAAAAATTCAAAATTCTGCTCTGATAAGTGATAATGTCAAAGTTATATGAACACGAATTGAAAGGTTTACAAGAATGAAGCAATCCATGATAAGGAGCCTCAAGAAGACAATGTAATTCTCAACCAAGTGATTACGACTGAAGATAATAGTCTTAATTTGTGATAAATTTTCCCTTGCATTTAATAATCTACTTAATATTTTTACGGCTACTAAGACTGATGGCCTTATTCTCACAAGTGTGGGGTCTTTTATCTTATTTGAAAATGTATATTGAGCAGACTGACTCGTCGGTAATTTTATGGTTTTGAAATACATTAGGAAACTGAACAGCCTTGCCATGCCAAAGAATAAGACACTGATTTGTTAGATGTATACTAGTCTTTCTATCACTTAATTTTGACAACCCAAAAAAAGCTTATTTATTTCTCATTTACCATAGCTTGTCTTTACCACACAGGTTTTTTCCAGTACAATCAAAAATCTCATTGATACCAAGGGGATTCTCAATTGAGCATGGAAAACAGAAGTTCGTGACAACACGGCTTGGAATTCCCAAACACCTCATCACTGCAAGGAAAAAAAATATTAATGATTAACTAATCAACCAAATACTTCACTTATTTTATAAATAATTTTCCTATATTCTACTCTGCAACTATAGAAACACAACATATAGGAGGCAATATTTGGAGCGCATTGATTCTGTCTTGGAAACTTCTTTTTAGTGGTTGAAAAGTAATCTGAAGAGAGCCTAGCAGAAAGGCATGGCTTGTTACTCTTCCAGCTTTAAAAACAACAACAACAACAACAACAACAACAACAACAAAAACACCAAAACCAAAAAAACCCACAAAAACAAAACCGGATCTGTTGTAAGTTCAAAAATAATAACCTGCATTAATAAAACACTATTTTTTTTAAACAGACTGTAGTACGTAAAGATTCAACTACAGAATATCAACAATTTTCTTCAATGTAGAAGCAGGTTCAAAAAATAAGTGGTATAAATTTAGAATTCTATTTTTTTTGTCTGTAGAGTTTAGTTCACTATTATCCTTTGCAGTAAAAAAAGCTAGTAGCCTGCTGCTTTTATATTTTGGAGGAGACATTGCTAGAAGTCTTCTTCCTCTTCATAACAGTATTTTTTTCTCATCCTTCAAACCTCACCCAGAGGATAAATTTCAGCTCAATGATGCTGCACTTGCTCTGTGTTTTAATAAAAGATGCAGTATTGAGAGCTGCATGGTATAAAGGTCACAGAAAAAACAGTACTGCTTTTCTTCACACTGTATAAGAAAGCAATAGGTTGATAATAAACGCTATGTTAGGAGCCATGCCTTACCATAAGAAGATAAATATATTCCATTTATTTTCAAGTAAAATGCTTATGAGTAATATATTCTTCTGGTAGCTTTTAAGGTCAGAGGTTTTTGATCCTGGATTTCTCTCTTCGTTTTTAGATAACTAGGTAAGGGCAGACTGAAATATCATACCTGTGCACATTACTGAAGCAAGAGACCCACAGTACCCATATCTGACCGGCCTGCATCTGCCATTGTACCACTGCTGAAGAATAGGGACACTTCCATTCCAGGAGAATGGTTTTGTTCCTTTCAGGTAATCATTGTTTTCTGGAATCTTCATGATACTGTTAGTGGTATGGCTGCTTATCTAGAAAGAGAAAAGAAAAACGACATTTTCAAATACCTGACTGTGTCTCCACATCCTAAGCATATCACAAAATCATCAGAGATTAGTGTTACAAGTTAGTTTTTCCTGTGAGTCTGAGCACAGAAAGGATTTTCCCTGCTACTCATATTGTGTTAGATTGCACTGCACTGCATACAGTGCAATTTGTCCTTCTATAATTTAATGAAGTGTGACCCAATCTATTCAGAGGTCACACACCACTAGAGGTCTTACCATATGATTTACCACCATGCTGACATGCACAGGATCATTGCGCCAGCAATGGTCACGATCAGAGCCATGATGGTAACTTGCACCCATGTCTAGGATCTTCAAGCAGATATCCAGAATCCCATCTTCAAACTGAGGAAAGAGAAGTTAACTCAGGTATCCTGGTATTCTGACATTGATAACGTTTCTTTCTTGTCAATAATCTAGGGTTTTTTTCATGCATATGAGCTGCCCTCTCTCCTCCCCTGTCTTTTTTTTTTTTTTTTTTTTTTTGCGTAGTTTTGTCTATCTTCCTGAAGGAAAACCAAAGGGAAAAACGTGTCATTTATGTTTATGTTTGACCAATGGAATAATTTTCCTTCAGCAGAACAATATTCTGCTTCACCTTTTCCAAGAACATGCTGCAGTTTTCTTAATTTTACTACAGAAGACTTCCTTCCAGTTGTGTGGGCTACAGTGAGATGTTCAAACATTTTGTTTTGTGCATGCATATTCTGGACTAGTCCTAAAAAGCTTTCGCACTCCATAACATAGCATGCATTTCTGAAAATATATGGATAACAATTCATTTATCTGCATATGGATGACATCTACTTCTAAACAAGTCTTCAAAAAGTACCTGTCCAAAATGCCATGGTCGAGAGGTAATATGCTTGTGAACTCCTTCATACAATATCCCATGTTCATTCAGAACATATTCTTCTCTATGGGCCTGGTTGTCCATATATACAGGGTCATCTGGAAAAAATGCAGAGCTATCAGTCACAATATGCACATTTCTAGCACTTCTGTATCTCCTATTTCACTGGATCCCTTTCTTTTCCTACCTATTTTTGATTTATACTTTTAAACATGTTCAAGGGTGCAGGATTTTTAAATGTTCACAGACAATTCATTTCTACTTACAGGCAGATATTATCTTTATTAAGTCTCCCCTGCTGTAGTAGACCTGAATTACAGAGCTTGCAATTTATCTTCACACTAAGCTGTTCTAGGAGTCAAATACTGTGCACTTAGCTTTGGGTATCTGATTTTGATCCATTCAAAAGCACAGACAATGTGCATATTTGCCATGTAATGATTTCTGCAAGGTCCAGAATTGCTTGTTACCAGAACCAGATCTACAGAATTTCATTTGTATTTCTACTGTATTATTTCATGGTGATACCACAGAATTCACAGAATGGTTGATGTTGGAAGGGACTTCTGGAGGTCTTTTCATACAACCCTCCTGCGCAAGCAAGGACACCTGAAGCTAACTACCCAAAACCATGTCCAGGTGCCTTTTGAATATCTCCAAGGATGGAGGTTCCACAGCCTCTCTGCACAACCTGTGCCAGGGCTCAGTCACCTTCACAGTAAAAAAGTGTTTCCTAATGTTCAGAGGAAAACTCCTGTATTTCAGTTTGCTCCCAATGCTCCTCGTCCCGTCAAGCCACTGTGAAATTGGGGGGGAGGGAAATTACACTACATCCCTATTACCATTAAGAAACCAAATCAGAACACTGGCTTAAGACACTCTTAAACTTGGAGGAAAAACTGAAAAATAACAAAACAAAATCCCTTCCTGTTTCTCATTATTTTGGTGGCTCCATCCCTTACTTACCAGCTAAGTAATAAATATATTCAACAGTTTTACTCATCACTAGCATTTTTCTTAAAACTATCTGATCACTAGAGTTCTTACCTGCACACCAAGGGTTAAAAAGGACATAAAAATCTCCAAGACATCGCTGATAGGTGTGACCACAAGATGTGATTTGCATATTGAGAATATAACGGCCAATGCAGGCATTGGAGGGAGGAAACACGCTGATATTGATGCATTTTGGCTGATGAACTTTGTGGGAAGCACTCCAGCAGGTTTGATCTAGACATCTGCCCATTGGGAAGGTACATTTTGTCTCATTTGATTCACAGGGTCTGAGGCCTTTTCAGGAAAATAAACATAACTACAATCAGACTAAATAAAGCACATGTAAAAGGCAAGTAATTTGCTTAGCTGTCTTTTGCAATGCAAAGCTCCCAAGGGTGGATTTCTTTTTCACTTGCCACTTCTGTAGCAGAGTGAGAAAACCTTACATGTTAGCAGAACTGCCTGAGCTAGGGGCAGGTAGCCTCTTCACACAGAAGATGAATGAGTAGATACTACTTGCCACTGAAGACTATGGGAAATACTACTTACCAGCAAAGGACTGGGAAAGACTACAGAGTTTGAGAGTGACTACCTGTCTCCACGGTGAAAATAGCCTGGTCCACGGAGTCATCCCATTCCCGATTTTGGAAGCGAGCATAGAAGCTGAAGGCTTGCCCTCTCCTTATTATCTGTTTGTCAGTTCCAAAGAAATGGGTATTATGAATCTGGCAGTTGGAAGGACAATTCAGGTCGACTTCTCCCAGCTCAATGACTGCAGCATGGAGAAAGGAACACAAAGGTAAAAACAGATAATTGAGTTCCCATCATTGGCTGAGGTGAAGATTACATGAAAGAGGAGAGAATGCTGAAAGACAGAGATAACTTTTTAAAAATTTATTCAAGGGTTCGTTCAAAAATCAGCAACACTGAGGTTTGGGCATAGGTCCAAAAAGCACCTTTGCAAGCTTACCACTTCTCTAGCTTGCAGGTGTAAACTTATATGATGCTTTGAGTTATAAAGCTGTGCTACAAGTTTCACATCTGTTATATAGTGCCTTCTTGCTTTATAAATACCTGATGTCAAGGGACAGTATTAGTATCTCTACTTGCAAAATTGATTTTGCATTATAATATTCTCTCCACATTACAACATGCTGCCTATAGACAATTACTTTTCAACTACAGCTAGACAGCAAACATCTATCTGCTATCAGTTGAGAGTTGTTTTTTATAGAATAAAATAATAAATTGGATAAATAAAAGATTTGATAACAAATGTAGGTGTTTGAAAGCCTAAGTAGCACTCCAAATGAGTTATGAATAAATCTCCCCCCCCCCCCCCCCCCCAATTTTAAATACTGTTAAATATGCATGAAAATGTCTAAATCTGCATTTCTAAAAGTCATAAAAGGTTTGCAGACATCTTTGAGGAACTTGAAGCAAAAGGAAATATTCACAAATTGTGACATTAAAAAAAGTGCTGACAATATATCCCAAGCACTATGATTAGCTTGATAAAATTCTTAGCTGATTCCCCCTTAGGTATCTTGCCTGGATATCACTCATTTCATAGGGATAATTAAAATCCTGGTGCCAGAAGGATGGGTGGCAACACTGATTTTTACTTATTTGCATACAACTTCTTATTTTCAAAAGTGTTTCACTCTAATTGAAGACAATGGGAGCCACAGATTCTCAGCAGTTTTGGAAATTAGGCTTACTGAACTACGAAGTCATGTATATTATTTTAATTCTACAAGGTTAAGTTTGGGCCTGCTAAACCTACAGAACAGCCAAACAATGCAACACTCTGTGTTGGCACTAAGTTGAACACAGAGTTGTTATTTAGGGGAAACTAATTTTTCCCATCCAGAAACAAGGGTGTATCCACATAAAAGGAGACTCTTAGCTAAGGCTATGGGACCGGGACACTTTTAACGCAAAGCAGTGGAGTTTCCCAGGATCACAGCCTGAAGTAAATCATAATTAAAATTAATTGGGAGGGGAGTACGGGTAAGGAACAAGCAAAAAAAAAGAACAAAACCCCAGCTTTTTCTGATTTGTTCCCTTGAACTAAAATAATTTCGTTTTTCATCTAACAATTTAAATTTGGTGATGAATTGGTCATTCAGCTCTTCAGCAGAAATCAGCAGAAAAATGCAAACCTGGGCATTACCCATGTTAAAAGAACACACACTATCAACCACAACCAAAATATATGGCAATGCATTACACCATTATTGCTCATGAATGCACTATATCTGTTGACAAGAAAGAGTTCTGGTTCAACAGAAAGGATTAGAAGTGCTTATAGCACACATGACCAACATCTGTGGTCAAGAACACTGAAAGAACCTGAGAGATCCTCGCCCATCCTCTGGAGGCGTTTATAAACCCAGACAGCTACACTTCATTCACTCATTAATCCAGCTGAACCAGAACATCAGGGAGTTGAGATATTACATGTTTCACAGGGAAGTTCTCTAAAGCCAGCCCACAGTTTGCTTATCAAAGTTAATTATCACAACCGGATCACAAAGGAGTTAACAATTGCCTTCTTAAGCAAAGGCAGCTCAGAGAAAATACGAAAGGCTAATCAATTTCACATCTTACTGAGCTTCTCTCTCTGGTAGAAACTCAGTCTTCAATACCAGTCACTGCGTTTTCTCTATCAATTCACTTTTTGCCTTCATTGCAGAGAGAATACACCAGGTATCCATTGTGAAATAATTGCTTCCAGCATGAGAATACTAGAAAACTAGTACTTAGTAGTTTATGTCAGCGATAAAAGGCATTTCTTTTACATGCTCTTTCTTATTCTCAGAGAATTGGCTGTTTTTTCACCAATTCTTCTCCATTGCTCTCTTTATCCTTTATAAAAGGAAAGGTTTTTTTTTCAGAAGTTGTTTTTTTTTCTTTCTCGCTCAGTCCACAAATAAAATATAAACCATAGAAGTAATCCCTAGATTCGATTCCATATAGTAATATGTACAAATTTTTTTTGTCCTTACATCTGACCATTTAATTATTTTCTCTTTCAGTACTGAGTCAAGTGATAGTAAAGTTTCAAGACACTCACCTTCCATTTTTCTTCTACATGTACTGGTATCTGAAGCACAGAACTGGTGGAGGTACCTGCTCCTCAGCAAGATGCAGTGCAAGGTCTGGCTGATCTCCTCTGTGAACCAACCTAATTTCCTCTCAGTAACATTTATATTCAGAACTAAAAGGCTGTCACACATATTGCATCAACAAAATACCAGTTTACAAAAAGGCCCCACCCATGTGTCTACTGATGCTCATAAATGATTCATTTTAACTTCCATCATTATTAGGAAGAGTCCTGCGGCTGGAGGGAGAGGTCTTCGTACCTCACCTGTACTCTCAACATCCCACAGCTTGCCATGTCTCAAAAATATTTTAAGATCAGGATGAATCTAAACACATTTTGATGTAAGCCATTATTTTTACCCATTTAAAGTTCCCATAAATCCCAGCACCTACTGTTCCCCTTTGGCTAGATATCTTCAATCACCTACAGGAAAGCAATAATGAACACTAGACTCAAGCTGAATTTAGACTCCCTGAATAGGATCACCAGTAGACATTTTTATTATAATATAAGCAGAAATCCCACCTTTCAGAAAGTCTACATAGCACTGCTTCCAAGTGGAGGTCAGAGTAAAATGAACAGTTATAAACTTTCCCAACTAAACTGTAAAATAAACAGAAGACATACATTAAATGCTTTAAAAGATGACAGTAAAATTTAATTTAAAGATTACAAAGTTTACCTATACTTTATGTGTATTCATGTTCTAGCACACTATCACTTTTTCAGGTTCTTAGCTTATTCCACCTCCCTTCCCCCAAAATTATATATTTGAGATTTTTTCAATAATTTTTGTGAAGAGAAAACTTTTAAATATTTTGACACAAAAATGTATTATCTTTCTTAGGTTGCAAAAATATTTAATAAAATAAACCAAAACAATTACAACAGTGTTCTCTCTGCACACTCAGTGATGAAGCAACTGGCCTGCAAATAGGAGAGATGGATTGAAATTTCCTCTGACAAAACCAGAACAAGCATTTGCTACCACTGCTTCCTATCCTGCTTCGGCCTCTATGCCAAGCTTCACTCCATAAAGTATCCTTTGAATCTCTCCAAGTTATTCTACTTTGGATTAAAATACCCCTTAAAACTAAAAAAAAAAAAACAAAAACCAAAAACAACCCACCACAAAAAACACAACAAAACCAAAACAACCAAAAATTCATTCATTGATATAGAAAGAACAGAATGACTGAAGTTCAGTGATTTGCATAACTGCCTGGATTCTAGACAGTGCTTTAAGAAATCATAAAATGAAACAGCTTAACTAACAGCGAAATAACTTAGTAAGCATAACTTAACAGCTCAGGTATTGTGAAATAATTTCACAGAAATTAAACCACAGAAAAAATCAGCACATCAGCAGAGGGTTTGGAAGAGTGGTTAAAATAGTTGTTTGATTGGTGCATATGAAAGTGAACATAATATTCAATGTGTTCATATTTGAAATTTGTAAATATCTGGCTAGTCAGTAGGCAGACATGAAAAAATGTGTGAATCCTAAATGTTTTATCAATTCCTCATATATCCAAAAGCTTTCTTACTATTTGACTATGAAACTTCGACTCATTTAAAAATTAAACCCAATACTATTCCATAAGAAATTATTTAGTAGCCATAAACACATAATCAACTAAATCAACCCATAAAATGGGAATGCTAGTGGTCTAGCCACCCATACGAAACCTGCCTATAAACATATGCCTATACTAGTGTCCGGAGAACAGAAAAGTACCAAAGTTGGTCATAGTTTCCAAGAATAAATTAAAATCCCTTAAAATACACCTAGTTCAATCACCTGCCTAAAATATTTTGGTAAAGGAAAGCCTGTGACAAATAAAAGAAAACAAATAAGCATCAGTAAGTGGCCACACCTGTGGGTTCAAAGAGACTTAATTAAGAGTTTAAAATAATAAAAGGCCTGAATCAGGAGAGGAACACTTTCTGTATGTATATGAGTCACTGACTTTAGTAAGTATGCTTGCTTAGATGCTTGAAGCTGCTTTGGTGCCTATCTGTCTCTGCAGGATCACTATATATATACCCAGCCCCAAAGCAAAACTTCCCAGATACCCAAGTTCTTGCCTATCCATGTTTGCAAAGCCATCCAATTGCTGTTGCCAGCTCACAGCTATCAGACTGGTTGGTCCTCTCACTCAAGCCCAAGTCGCAAGTGCCTAAAGTAAGAATCTCTAACAAAGTAGAAAATCATAGCATACCAGCTCTCTAGGTGCTCTCAGTCAATTCTTATCCCCTCTTGCCTTCTAAGACCTGCATCATATGAGTTGGACTCAGGTAGTCCATGCAACAGGGCCACCACACTACAGAAAGAGGCATTGGAGACTGAGCTCAAACAGGAAGAAGTAGAGATACGGTTCAAAGAAAGGTTTTGCCTCTCAGCTTATGGGCTGTCTAAATACTGGTGTGTCCTGACTGTTGACCTCCAAGGCAGGTTGCTGCCCTCTATCCAAGGAGTCTCCTCCTGGATAGAAACAGTTCCCCTCCCTGCCTTATAGCAAAGTACGCCAAGCTACGGTTGATAGTCTTTTGGTCCCAACCTGGGGTGCTTTCCCCCTCTGCCTCCATCTTTTTTACTAATATTTCAGTCATAGTTCACTCAAGCTGTTCTCTTCACATTACTACCGTATCTTACTTACACATCCAACATTCCCTGAAGTGTACGAAAAAGCTGATATGCTTGATACAAGCCTGAAAATTCTGCAGGATAGCACATTTATGAGGATTTAGGCATGTGCAATATTTAAACCATTTAGTTATTAGTTTCTTCAGAGACCTTGATTTTGGCCCTTACTGCACAAGCATCTATACCATAATAGTTTAGAGGGAATTTTTAAATTTTTGGAGTAATCGGTATTTAAAATAGTACAGACTACTTTTACCTTTTACAACAGTTTGGTGGGGTTTTTTGTAGTTTGTTTTTTGTTGGTGGGTTTTTTTTGTGTTTTTGTTTGTTTGTTTGTTTGGGTTTTTTTTAATATTACTTGCATTACAACAGACTGACATATGATAGGCATTAATAATTCAAGTGGTATGCCTGCTAAGGCTCTGAAATCTTCATGGCTCTCAATTGCCCATTATGCCACTAGTAAAGGGCAAGGATTGAACAACAGGGCACCGCAATCACAGAAAGAACACCTGTGAATGACACTGGTGCAGTTCCACAGCATCACTAATATATTCGGGAACAGTAGAGAAGTCACAGCAATCAAGCATCCAAGGAATCCTTTCAAGAAAAAGGAACACAAAATGACAGCTCAACAGGGGATAAAGGAAAGAATCAGAAAATATGTCAATTGAGATTAAAGTGTTTTGGTGAAAGTGTCATCTACTGGAAAACTGGGGTAACTACAGAGCTTTAAAAAAAAAAAAAAAAAAGCTACTCAGTTTAAGCATGTGTCCATAGGCAGTCCTAAAGGCCACTTTTTGCACTTGGTCATATAATTGTATTTCTTTGATCACTGGACCCGGAGTTCACCTTATTAACAAAGTTACAATTTGGTAGAAACAGCAATGAGTAATGGAGTAAAAAGTTACCTTTCAAGTTGGGATATTTGAAGTCATTAACTGGCATCGCTATCTGCTCCCAAGAGTTCAGGAATATTCATGTCTAACAAGGAAAGGGCATAGAGAAGAAAAAAAAAAAAAAAGGATGCTACAGATTAATGCTAAAATAAGCACATGTTTGTTAGGATTCCACATCTGACATTTAAACGCTTTATACTACAAGGACAGAAGGCTGTCAAAGTAACATGAACTCTGTCACACAACACACCCATAAATTTCTTAAAATTCATAAATCAATTTGCAGTGAGGGTGCCTTTCATTAAAGAACCTGAAAGCACTAGCAGCTACTCTCTTGAGTGTAAGAAGTATTACAACATGCTATTTACAGGTGAATTAGGACAAAGAAATGCTTCAAATGAAATCTTAAAACGAGAAGCCTGTGTGCTTTAAGTAGTACATGGCAGCTTTGTCTTTCTAGAAGCTGGAGGAAATTAGTAGCATTAAATAATTACAGGTGGTTTCTGACACAACAAAACCACCAGTCTTCATACAAAGAAACCAAAAACCCCTTCAAGGCATTCCCATCCAAGCTGGTCCATAGGACTCGCTTTGCATTCTGATGAAGCTACTTGTTCTCTTGTCTCTTAGTTTTACTGGGTTTCCATTAACTGTGTAAGCCACTTTTTCATTCCATGTAATAGGATTTTTTTTTCCCCAGATATCCACAGTGCTGATGAGAAAGACACACACCTATAATGTTGCAGTATATGCAGAATGCAGAAAGGTCAATTATAGGATGTGTACCTCTAAGAGCAAGCACCAACACCATCTGTGCTTAAGGCATATTGTCATATTTAGAACAGAACTCAGGTAGAATGCTAACCTGAGTCATACTGTAGGCCTTACTTCTGTACTTCACCTTTGCTCTACAGCACTTCCAGAGTTGGTTTTTGTTTTGTTTTATTTTTCAATTGGTTCTTTTTTTCATGTACCTTAATAATAGTAGCAACAGTGACCGGGTTAACTTAAAAGAATAAAACTATAAACATTGCATAAATTGCCATTAATAAGTTTCAATAAAAATAAAAATTTTGTCTCCCAAAAAATAAACCCAACTAACCCAAACCCAACTTCTTTTCACAAACTGAAGCTAGAATTCATAGCTGAGTAATGTGCCAGGTAACTTATTCTGAGTACTCTAAGTTCACTTTCAAATGAGCTTGTTCACAACTGTATTTAAAAACAGAAGTGGAATAGGCTAGCAGTACTGTAAATTCAAAACTTAGCTCACAGAGCAGTAACTTTCCCACACAGAGAATCCTATAAATCACCAGGTCTGTGATTATAACTCACGAGTCTAACGGCGCAAGCAATGGAGTAGATGCCATGGATCTTATACAGGGACAGGCAATGCTAATTGGAAAAGATTCAGTCTGAGCAGTGTGAATTAAAAGAATAAAACAAGGAGGGACATTTACTGGGTTGCATTGCAGGAGGTTTGAGGCGCTCTGGAAGAATGCAATTTGGCTCCTAGACTCCTTGGTGTTTTAAAAAAAATTCTATTTTCTCCTCTAATGCTTTTTTGCAGATGTTCACTTAAAATTTCTTTCTATAGGAGTAGAGCTCAACATCTTGAAGCACAGGTCTAAAATACAGATCTTCATCCCAGCAAAAAGTAAGAGTTGAGTACTGATATTTACAATATAAAGAGCTCTTACTTTTACCTGGGAACTCTATAATGTTAGATGAAAAAATATTTTGTTTCTGACAAACTGAGTTCAGCACCTGCCTGACATAACTTTTTTGAGATTTCTAAAATTTCCCATGAATTGCTTATTTTGAAGTTAAAAAATATGTACTTACATTTTGGTTTTATTTCAAACAGTTGAAGTAAACTACTCATAAGTTAAAATTAACAGGGAAAAACTCTTAAAATTTTTGGCTGTTTCAGATCTCTGTAGTGGATATCTTACATGTATACACAACATAGTACATAAAGAAGAT